GGGCCCGCCAGACTGAGGTGCTCCTCTGCACCGCAGGTGAGCTCCGGTGCGGGGAGACGTGGTGTCCGAGCCCTCGAGGGCCCGTCAGCAGGTGCGGTGTGAACGTGAGTGCCTGCAGAAGCTCGAAGCGCTCCGGGTCCTGCGGGAATTGGTATGAAACCTTTTTGCTGGTTTGTCAGATAGGATGAGCCAGAGCCACAATGCGCCAGGAGGAAAAAAAAAAAAAGGAAAGGGGAAAAAAGGGAGCCGAACAAACGTGTAGTTTGACAGCAAAGTGGAAAGTCTCGTTTCAGTCATGTCTGAGAGAAGTGTGGAGGTGAAGGGCTCAAGCCCCTGCGGCAGCCCTCTGAGGAGCGCCTCAGGGCGGCCATCTCCTCCCCAGGGCTGCTGCCTCGCAGCCCACCTCCCGCACCAGCACCATCCCCCCGGTCGCCGTTTCCCCAAGATACCCATGAGGGGAAGGCAGCGATGACAGCAGGGAAGAGGCGACAAAGGGCAGAGGTGGTGGTCCTCCTCAGGCGGAGGGGTGCTTCGGGGGCTGTGGTACGGGGGTGTGAAGGGACCGTGGGGGTTTGTCTTGAGAGGCCAGTGTCTTGGGAGGGCAGATAGGCTGTGGAGCAGGAGGCAGGGCTGGCTGAGGGAGGGCGAGTGAGAGGGCTTGTGGATTATGGGGTGGAGGGTACGAGGAGGGTATTGCTGCTACCTTTTCTCTGCCTGGCACTAGCGTGGTCGCTTGGTTTGGCCAAGCCATGTGCGTTGAGGGAGCAGTACTGAGTCCTACCCCTGACCTGCAAAGGAAACCGAGAAGTGACCCTGCTACTCCAGTGAGAGAGGAAAAATTGGGGGCAAGAGGGGAGCCCGCTCCTCAATTCCTATGCTCACTCACCAGATTTTTTATGCATTTAGGCAGGGAAAGGAAGGTCAAGTGCAAATCTTAATTCTGTATTTCTGATAGCCAAAATGAGGCAGTTTTGTGCAAGGGTTGGGAAGCTGTGTTCATGTGCCTGCTCCCGTACCAGGGTTCCTGCTAGTAATGCGTAGGGGAGAGTTTCATCGAACCAGAGACCCAAATCCTCCCATCTCTGTGTCCCCCTGCACCTTCCTGCCCTAATATCTTTCTACCTATTTGTCAAGTCACCCAAAGCCTTTTAGCCCTGAGCTTGCTCTTTCATCCCACCCTTAATCCTACCTCTCCTGCCAAAAGCTGTGCTGTGTCTTGCAAGATTGCCTCATCCCCAGTACATCCCTAGCTGCTGTTTAGCCACCTCTGCTCTGCCTATCACCCACCTTTCTGTCCCCTTCGGCATCCCCACTGGCTGTGAGCATTACTTACCTTCTGGCTGATATTATACCAACTAAACCTGCTGGCTCTCGCTGTACAAGCGAAGATGGGCTCCCGCTCGAGCTGGGCTTTCAGAAACCTGAATGCGTGCTTAAATCATTTCCAGGGGAAGAAGCAGGGTGCGTTCAGACTCCATTTTGCCGAGGAAGAAATTGAATCCAATTTCTCTTTTCCTGCATAGCTGTTCTAATCACTGGGTTTGGATATAAAAAGCAGTATTCTTGAATCTATCTTCGAATGTCTGAGTTTATTTTTTTTTCCAAATAAAACTCCTCAGCAAATTCAACAGTATGTGGTGAATTTGAGTGTATGACACTTTGAGTTCAAGAGTAATCTTCAAAAGTAAAGAATCAAAAGTACAGTTGGGAAAAAATATACTTAAGTTTAAAAGTAATAATTGGGGAAAAAAATAATCCATTTCTAGTTTCCCTGCCTGATAAATTCTTCAGCAGCTTTCATATTTAACATTATTAGGCACAGTTAACCTGAAGAATAACATGCTTTTACAGCAAAGATTCTCTTTTTGTGAAAGGCAGAACCAGGATTTTTTGTTTATTTCCTATTCTTGGGAGCTTTTCTTCATTCTTTCAGCACCTGGCCTCAGGTTCATTTTATGTGCTGTTTAATATTTGTAAAATAACAATTTCTGAGCATTTGTTCTGTTGAATGCGTGCTTAAATCATTTCCAGGGGAAGAAGCAGGGTGCGTTCAGACTCCATTTTGCCGAGGAAGAAATTGAATCCAATTTCTCTTTTCCTGCATAGCTGTTCTAATCACTGGGTTTGGATATAAAAAGCAGTATTCTTGAATCTATCTTCGAATGTCTGAGTTTATTTTTTTTTCCAAATAAAACTCCTCAGCAAATTCAACAGTATGTGGTGAATTTGAGTGTATGACACTTTGAGTTCAAGAGTAATCTTCAAAAGTAAAGAATCAAAAGTACAGTTGGGAAAAAATATACTTAAGTTTAAAAGTAATAATTGGGGAAAAAAATAATCCATTTCTAGTTTCCCTGCCTGATAAATTCTTCAGCAGCTTTCATATTTAACATTATTAGGCACAGTTAACCTGAAAAATAACATGCTTTTACAGCAAAGATTTTCTTTTTGTGAAAGGCAGAACCAGGATTTTTTGTTTATTTCCTATTCTTGGGAGCTTTTCTTCATTCTTTCAGCACCTGGCCTCAGGTTCATTTTATGTGCTGTTTAATATTTGTAAAATAACAATTTCTGAGCATTTGTTCTGTGTTTTGGTTCCCCCCCCCCCGTGAATGCTTCCCTAAGCATATACTTTTTTTTTCTGATTCTGCCTCCCTGTTGGAGGTGGACTTTTAAAAAGTTTCATTTTTGTGTAATTGCATTTGAACATTTGTCACATTGTTTTGCTTGTGTATTTTTACTTTGCTTTAGTTTGGTGGGTTTTTAAAAAACTTTTGCTTAAAGTGCCAGTAGCTGAGTCATAAGAGACTGTCAGAGTAATGGTCTGTTCAATACTCCCTTGAAAATCAAGGCATTATAATGGTTCTTTTGCTTAAACATTTACTTTGCCTGTGATCACTTCAAAGAGCATAAAAAACCCCTGATATTTAGGTGCTTAAATGCCTTTAAAAATTACAGTCCAAAGTGCCACAGTAGAGCTGTGACTAAGGCGCTTGAAAACAATGCAGAGAGCCCAGTACAGAAAACAAACAAATGCTTACCAGCTCAAAAGGCTAGAGAAGGTGAAATTTGTCCTTTTGAATACTTGGGATACTTTGGGTGATAAAGCATTACTTTTACTGAACAGAGGAGTTTTGCAACATCTGCCACTTGGACAATTTTAATCATATTACTTACCAAATCTTCTTGAACAGGGGCATCTGGAGTTCCCTGGCTAGGTGGAGCTGTTTCTGTGGAACAGAAGGTTCATTTATTTATTTAGACACAAAAGGAAGACAGGATATGCAATTGCCGTCAAGCTCCATGTCTGTTAACCTTGCTAATAGCCCATACACCTACAATACCCCTATTAATTCAAATATACCAAATGCCATCACAGTAATCTTACTAACTTTATTGACCACCCAGCTTTTTCGTGATGAAAATATCAAATACAAAGACAAATCCCATGTTTCTGGGTGCTCCCCCTCTTTCTGATCTTTCTATGTCTTTCTGCAGTCCTTCTGTCTTTGTACAATATTGTTGATGGGACAAAGAAGTGGGCGTCAAGGAAGAAGCAAGAAATTAGAGCTGACACTAAGTGAGACCATGAAGGCAGAAGCAGAAGTACACAATAATGAAGAGGAAGCCAAAGACCAGAGGCTAACATCAGTCTTTGGTGTGGCAGACTTAAAAAATGGTAATAATGTTTTGTCTATTCTTCACTCTCATATTTTCTATTTCTAATGCCTGCTGTTCCATTCTCTGTCCTTAGGCTTCATTTTCTCATATTCTTTACCTCTTCACTGAGGAATATATAGACAATTCTCATTTTGCCCTGCCAAGTAACCATTTTGGTTTTTTGAAAGGGATTACATGAGGATCTCAGAGCTTCTTCCACTTTTAAGTCCTCAGATTGGCCATTGCAGCCAAAAGGTCTAGATCTTTCCAAACACAGCCAGCATTGCTTCTGGATTTGCTAAACCATGGAGTAGGCCCTAGTTACTCTGCTGCATCACTAGATTGGCCTCTCAAAAAGCTGTCATTAGTATTTCAGGTGTACGTACTGTTCTATCCCAGCTATAGCCCACCCTTACCACCGACTGTATGCATTTCAGAGTTGTTCTGAGTTTCCGTTCCATGTCCTCTCTCCCTTTGGTGATGACTTCAGAAGAAAAACTGATTTCTGACCACGATTACTTACACCCCTTTGGGGCACAGAATATGCTGTCTCTTTAGGTGCAGTGTGAACAGCTGAGACTTACTTTTTCCAATTCTCTCAGGCTAGTTCCTTTCTTTGAAACAGAGACAAAGAGTACCAGAAGTAGGCTGAAGGAAGAACTTAAAGCCTGTGTGGTGGACAGCTAGCATGTGGTCCCACATGTAGCTCGCTATTTTGTTATTGGGCCTGGCTGTGTAAAAGGCTGAATAAAAATCCTCATACAGGCAGTCTTTGACTTCTGGGTTTTTTTTTATTTTATGTTTCGATGTGTTATGAGAGGACTGAAAATAGAGGGACTGGGAGACATCTGAGTATCATAATCCAGGCTTACTTGGATTTTTCCTGTCAGTTGCTAAACAAAAATAAATGTTATCTGCTTCAGGAACATAAGAATAGATTGAACAGTTTCTCAGATCTGACCAAGATGCTGGGCCTATGCACCGAGTGGCTGAACATGTGCAAGAGGACTTTGCCACATTCAAATAATTTTCACTTTCTTTTCTTGTATGTATCTCCAGGTGTCACTTCCTTTTTTTCTGTGCCTACAGGAGCTGTTGGACTGTACAACGTTGGACAGAGCTGCTGTCTGAACTCTCTGCTCCAAGTGTTTCTCATGAATATACACTTCACTGGGATACTTCGAAGGTACCACCCATTCGAACTACCTGAGATACTTCCATTGTTGCTCTGTTGTCATAGAATCATAGAATAGTTTGGGTTGGAAGGGACCTCTAAAGGTCATCTAGTCCAACCCCCCTGCCGTGGGCAGGGACATCTTCAACTAGATCAGGTTGCCCAGAGCCCCGTCCAACCTGGCCTTGAATGTTTCCAGGGATGGGGCATCCACCACCTCTCTGGGCAACCTGTGTTTCACCACCCTCAGTGTAAAAAATTTCTTCCTTATATCTAGTCTGTATCTACCCCCCTTTAGTTTAAAGCCATTCCCCCTTGTCCTGTTGCAACAGGCCCTGCTAAAAAGTCTGCCGCCATCTTTTTTATAAGCCCCCTTTAAGTACTGATAGGCTGCAATAAGGTCGGGATGTACATTTGAAGGCTTGGATCATCAAGGTGCTAGCAAGGTGCTTTCAGCTCACTCGGCAAGGACTCTGTCTTGTTGTGTCTGTCATATACAAACTAGGGCCTGCAAAGGTAGGAGTTGCAGTTTTCTGACTTGTTAGTCATCTCTGATTCATGTGCCGTTTGCACACCAATAAGCTGCAGTCCTGAACTGAGTCTTTATGACTTGTATCTCTCTTTTCCATAACAGGGTACGATTTTATTCCAGGTATACTCATAGGCCGTTATAACTAAAGGATGTGTCATGTGTAACCATATCCACTATGAATTTTGTAACTTTAAGCATGTAAACATAAACATATTGTGATCCATAGCCTCTGGCCCCTGATTGTCCTGGCTAGCACCTGATAGAGAAGAGTAAGTGTTGTTGCAGATAGCAAATATATAGTGTTATTTTGTTTTGCTTGACTGTGCTGTTGACTTGTTTGTGAGCAGGATTTGGGCTTCCACCTTCCTACCAACCACACTAATAACTGGTTTGATTTGTTTTCAGTTTACTTGGTTCACTGCAGCTTTAGTCATCTGAGTGGATCATTCCTATTCAGTCCTCCTTTCTCCAAATTTCTTACACACTCACCAGTGTACAGAGGGGGAAGAAGACAAGTTACAGACACGCAGAGATGAGAAGTGTTATAAATGGGCAAAGCTAAACAATGTCGATAGTATGTTACCATTGTTATTTGAAGAAAGACTTAGAAAAACCTGTGGACTGCAATAAATTTAGGGAGGATAAAGAGCTTTCCAGTTGGCATATAGTTGAAGTACAAGCATTATGATATACATGCCCATGAAATTTGGAGGGTATCTTGAGAATGAAGGCATGAACAGGTGGGAGGCAAGAACAGCTCTGAAACTGGCTGTAGCTAGTGTTGTTTCTAGAGCCCAGAAGGCACTTCGGGTCCTGCTTGGTTTGCCTCTTATTCAGGAACGGGCTAGCTTAAAATTGTGGCCTTTTACTTTAGAACTGTCAGCCTGCACTGTGGGATGAGCTAGTGCAGGTGTCTGCTTCTCCTTTTTCCTTCTTTTGCTAAAAACATGCCCATTCTGCTTCCTCTTGAGTTGCTATCTGTGCTATCCACCTCTGCTCCTTCAGGTATCTTGTCCAATATTTCCCCATTGTACCGCTGGATTACCATTCATGTTGCTTCTTCTCTTTATAGGATCACAGTGCCACCATGTGCTGTGCAGAAGAGGAGGAATGTCCCATACCAAATGCTCCTGCTGTTGGAGGAGATGCAGTGTGGCAAGCGGAAAGCTGTTTCTCCCATAAACCTCGCCTGCTGTCTTTCAGCATACAGAGTGAAATGTAAGCAGCACCGCCTCATGCCCATCTCTGCCTGCAGACCAGATGCAGGTGTTAATTATCAAGCACTAACAAGCAGTGCAGACTCTGACATCTCATTCAGAGATTCAGAAATGTGAGGAGTTAAGTACACAATGATGTGCTCTTTATAGCCGCCTCCCAGTTGTGAGTGAGATGCTGTGTCTTACTTGTGAAGAGGGGAGAAAAAGCCCCGGCCGGATATCCTTGCTGATGTTCAAAGAGTAAGACTATCAGACTGCTAGAAGACTCAGCCACTGATACTGGCCAGAGGGAAAGGGATGTGCAGGGCAGAGAGAGGACAGCTTATATCTTGATTTGTCTTGCTATACTGGCATGATAATAGTGAAACAGCTGCTATTTCTTATTAGAAGGAAGAGATCATGTGGAAAAGATACTGAGTTCCCCTAGATACCCAAGGATAGAAACCACATCCTTCCTGTTCCTTGCTATAAGGGCACAGAGAAGAATTTGCTGGCTTAACCTCCCACCTGGGCAGGGTCCCAAAGGAGAGAGATTGTTAAATGCACGGGTGACTGGTGACAATGGGCTGCTGAGGGTCTGTTTATGTGTACAAATACACACAGTATATCCAAATGCCCTGATCTTTATCATATAAAAGCCAAAACAGGACAGCACTGAAAGGGACAGATGGTAGCCAGCTATGCTGGTTTTGGCTGGGGGAGAGTTAATTTTCTTTATAGTAGCTAGCATGGGGCTATGTTTTGGATGTGTGCTGGAAACACAAATCAACTTATCCCTGTTGATAACACAGGGATGTTTTAGCTGCTGCTGAGCAGTGCTTACACAGAGTCAAGGCCTTTTCTGCCTCTCACACCACCCCACCAGCAAGTAGGCTGGGGGTGCACAAGAAGTTGGGAGGGGACACAGCCGGGACAGCTGACCCCACCTGACCAAAGGGATATTCCATACCATATGACGTCATGCTCAGCATATACAGCTGGGGGAAGAAGGAAGGGAGGGAGGGACGTTCGGAGTGGTGGTGTTTGTCTTCCCAAGTAACAGTTACATGTGATGGAGCCCTGCTTTCCTGGAGATGGCTGAACACCTGCCTGCCGATGGGAAGTAGTGAATGAATTCCTCGTTTTGCTTTGCTTGCGTGTGCGGCTTTTGCTTTCCCTATTAAACTGTCTTTATCTCAACCCACGAGTTTTCTCACTTTTACCCTTCCAGTTCTCTCCCCCATCCCACCAGGGAGGAGTGAGCAAGTGGCTGTGTGTTGCTTAGTTGCTGGCTGGGGTTAAACCACGACACCAGCCCAGAGCTATATTAAGGAGGAAGATGAGATAAGCTGAATATTTCTGTTTGCATCATTTTTCCCCCTGAGACTGAATGGCTCTGCATTTTGCCTGCTCTCTTCCAATTAAAGAGATGCCCAAAGAGAGTTTGTAAAGCTTGACAGTTTCCCACCTTGTCCTCCTGATTTAAAATTCAGGTGTGGTTCACAAAGTCCTATATCCCAGCAAGTGGTGCTTTACCTGGATCGCAGATGTGCTATTAGACACGAGGAGAGGTGTATTTTCTGAGCTTCATTTAGTCAGGGATGTCTGTAATCTTACTAGAACCCAGCTGAAGTCAGTACCTGCAGACTTGCAGGGAAGTTGAAAGCACTTCCACCTCAGGGTGTTGGATTATTCCATAAAATTTGTTTCACCTATGATCAAGCATAGAGTTAGTCCAGAAATATCAAGATTTTGCTAAACTATGTGTAGTTTTTGCCCAGTTCCTAAATCTTGAGTTCGTCATGGGCTGAGAACATCAGTTCTTTGCATTCAAGGATGTGGATTTTTTTTTCCCCCCCTAAGTTCAATCTTGAAGCAATTATCTGCTGAGCCATTCTAAGCAAGCTGTGCCTTGAGCTGTATCCCACCGTCTTAGGTTTCTTAATATGCCAGTTTAGCCAGAGTGGAAAGCCAAAGCATAATGTTACTACATCATCCTTGGCGCTCTGTGCTGAAACTGTGTGCTTTCTCCCTGGGTAGGGATCAAGGGGTTTATACCATTCTGTGGATGAGACGTGGATAGGCCTCCCTGTCATTTTTATCTCAGCACTCAGGAGTGTTACAGCCTTAGCGAGGGGATGGGGTAGGCAAGTCTGTGGAGTAATGAAGGTGAAAAAGAGAACAGAACCTTCCCTGTATTGTTTCTAAGAAGGACTCAAATAAATGCAACCCTCAACTCAATGAGATATCTGAGCCCTATCCTCCGGTAGGTATTGGGTATACTCTTGGCCCTGTGTCTGGTGACAAGGACATGACTTTTGCACTGGGTTGTACAATGGGGCACTCAAGCCCTCCCATCTTTTCCCACTGCCTGCTCAGGTCACACAGAGACATTGCAGCTCATCTCCAGTCTAAGCTCTGTCCCTGGCAGGGAGTCGCAAGGGACCAAGAGACTGGATCTAATGGGGCACAATAAATCTTCCTTTGCTATCTGTGGGAAATCTGTGCTTGGTGCTGTTCATAATGCTGACTGAGGTTGTGTTTTCTGTTTGTCCAGTGTTTGTGCAGTATGATGCTGCCCAGCTCTTTCTGACTCTCTGGAACTTGATAAAGAGGCAGATGAAAAAGCCAGAGCTGGTAAGGACAGTCACCAAAATGAACACCAGGTCCTTTGGCCCTTGTCATATGTCGTTTCCTCTGCTTCTTGAAGAAGAATCCCCTTCATTGACAATTATCCTAAATGAAGTTCTTAAAATTATCACCTATTTGAATCTTTCCTTCATCTTTCAAATGGGAGAAGGAATCTTGATTTCATAGGCTTTAACGTTTTGAGATAGTTAACTTTTGTTCATCCTACTTTTAGGGCATGCCAGGGTCTCCGTTCTAATGGGAGAGTTGATTAATAATAAAAAGATTGATCTTCTTGCAACACTGAATTTAGTTACCTTGCATTTCTTTTTTCCCCGAATTTCTTTAAGCATTCATTGGCACGTCTTGACACAGCTCCTCTGTTCTTTGAAGTCAGCCATGTGCGTTTCATTATAATTAGTCACTGTTAGTATGTTATGTATATGACAGTTCCTCCCAGGGGAGCTATGTAAGGTAAGAGAAAACTGACTCTTCCTCACCCACTGTCATAGTTTTATTCATACAGAAGACAGGCTCCTGTTGCAGTTCCAAACAAAACAATAAAATTCTGCATCAAAGCAGACGTTTAACTCTCTGATCTTGTTATATTCTGTGTCTTTCCCCTCTGCTAGGGGATGAGGGGAAGGAGTTGTTGTCATTTAAATGGTGGGAAGTGCCCTGTCCACATAAGTCGATGTCAGATCTGGGTTCAAGCCTTACAGCAGTAACATTGTGTGAAGTAACATGTCCACGTGGGCTTTCCCACCCACAGAGGGAAACACCTCAGCTGTGTTCTTCATAAACCTTGTTTTGGCCTTTTTTCACCCCTCCAGGTTGAAGAGCTGAGTTACTTGTACACTATCTGTGTACAGGAGCACCTGGCCTGTCAGAAATGCTCTTCTGAAACAAAGAGGAACAGCAGCATGTTAACCCTTCCACTCCCAGTGTTGGATTCCAATTCTGACATGCTGAAGACGCTGGTGAGTTCAGTGGCAGCACTGTTCCCTTAGGAAGAAGATTCCCCTCTGTTCGCTGTGGGAGCCTTCTCCTTGCAGCACTGGTGTCTTCTGGGACTCATCTAGAATCTCTGCAACAATCTCTGCAGGGTGTCTCGGGCTTTGAGGTGATCTGTTCTCATTCACCTTTCTTCTTTGTTTTGAGGGGTTCTAAGTGTCTCAAAAAATTTGTTTGATTTGGGGGATGGAAAATTAAGTCTTTGAATCGCCTTTCTAAAAAGAGTGTTAACTAAATACTCTGTAAGACTCAAAGACTTATACTACAGAGTGATGTGTGCCTGTGAGACCTTAGATACCACAGTGAGGTGCCCTAGATAACTTGTAATCCCTGGCCAGACACACTACGTTTGCCCAGTACAGTGCTCTTTTACTGTTAAATCAGTACTGCTGTTTGATATCCAGATACAGCAGTGATGGTGGCTATGTAGATGCTGCCACAAATAGACAGTGGATTTTTCAGGTGACACTGGACCATTGGACCTTACTTATTCTCTGACTACTTTATACTGTTTCAGGCTAAAGGAACCTCTTTCAAAATCTCTAAGGCTTTGAAGTAGGTATAAAAGACACTTATGCATCAACATCTTTTCTGTGGAAAATGTGGTACTCTTTTCAACTAATGTAATCACACCAGCAGTTAGGAAACAGGGGGTACCCTTTTTCAGGCTGCAGGCCATCTTTTGTCCTTTGAATAAAATATGCCTTCTGTAGCTTTGCTGTTTGCATGTACCCTGTACAAGTAGAAACAGAAATCCAGCTTGAAGGAAATCCATTGAAAGAAATCTCTGTCTTCTTAGGAGGACTGTCTGCAATACTTTTTCCGTCCAGAAGAGTTGACTGATCACAACATGTGTTTCTGTGAACAGTGTGGAAGGAAAACACCTTTTTTGCAGGTAAACAGAGACTTGTTTCCCCATGTGTCTCTTATACCCAGAACTCCCTTTAGGACTGGGAAGGGTGGGGAAAGGACTCAACCATATCAGTTTAAGAGGAGATCAACAACTCAAAGACTTGTCAGCACAGCAATGTCAGCTAGGTATACACCACATGCATCTTTCCTGTTAGGAAGTTCCCTACTGTAGATGTAGCTCTAGCAACAGAAGAATGCTTTCATGGGTTTTAATGTAAGTCACTGAGGGACGTAGCATTTCTGTACCAGTAGAAAAGCTTCTGTTGGTTTATGTTGTGTTTCCACCGTGGGGCTTTACACTGCTGCGTAGCTCCAGGGGTAGACAAGAATGTGTTACTGGAGCTGTGCATACACATAAAAGTAGGCTACTGTAGGGTGATTTCCTTTCTTCCTTGCTCTCCACTGGGCTCCCCATTTTTTACAGTATTGGTCTCTGCCAGCCAATTAGCTGTTTCATGAAGAGACAAGTGCATTGAAGAGAGAGGTGTGTGAGGGAGACTGCCTCAGCTCAAGGCTTGGAGGGGACTTTCCACATCATTTTCACCAGTGGGCCACCTCCAAGGACACAATGCATCTGTACGTCTTGGTGGCAGCCATGGCAGCAGCAGTAATATCAACAAAGGCAGTGCTGGAATGAATGAGCTGTCAGCTTGGCGTCCTCCATGGAGCTCTAGTGGCCACATGTTACAAGGAAGTTGGCTTGCCTCTTCTCACCAACCTAGTGCTACCAACCTAGGGTTAAGAAAGCAGATGAGAAATGCAGCAGCCCATGAGACACCCAAGGCTGGGTGCTGATCACGCTGAAGTTGAAAAACTTGGTTATCACAGCTCCGTTACATGTTTGTGTCTCGTGTGCAGATGAGCTACAAAGGTTTGGCATCTGCTGTCCGGTGGAATTGGCAATCATTCACTATAGCACTGACTGCTCTCCATGCTACATTCACTGTGTGGCAATGGCTGTTTCCACCCCACCTCCCCAGGGTTTGTTCCTTAGTTTTCAATTGCATTATTTATTGCTTTACAGAGCATGAAGCTAGTCCATCTGCCACAGACTCTGACCATACACCTAAAGCGCTTCTGCTTCGAAAAATCAGCCTACGTTCACAAGCTTAGTCACTATCTGCCATTCCCACAAGACCTTGATTTCAATGCAATCCTGACAGAAGATCAGTGCCAAGCAGATGACAATGAAAAGGTGAGATACTCCTCATGTTTAAAAAGGGCACATTTTCTTCTCTCCTCTGCTCAAGTCTCATAAAAACTTAAGAGATCACACCAGTACTTCCCTCAGTTCAAAGCACAGGTCTTAAAAATGTATGTCTCAGGCTTTACTTGTGCCTGGTGTTGTCTCGCATCCTGTGGTTTTAACTGGTTCAGGCATTATTCAACTTTCTGTGCTCAGATTAAATCACCAAAGGCACCATAACTGGAGCTTTCTGCCATAAGGACAAGAACCAGGATTTAAAAAAAAAAAAAAAAAAATCCCTTTTTTTCTGAGAGCGTTTAGCATAACTTTTTTTTCCATTTCTAAATATACTAAAGATGAAAACACAGTTCATTTGGATGACCAAATCCAGACATTGTAAACAGTGTCTTTGAGGCAACTTCTGTCCTGTTGTTCAGCCTCTGGGGCAGGACAGCTTCAGTGAGCAGCAGACCTACTGCTTTGCAGAAGTCACTAGTCCAAGACAGGGCAACTCCGTTCCTGGCAGTTTCCCATGCAGCGTTGTTTGCCACAGACTTGCGGTTAACAGGGAGATGACAGCTTTGCCAAGCAGCTGAGAGTGATCTGCCACACTGTGGATCTGTTCCTCTTGCTGAGAAATAACGAGGGAAAGTGTGGCAACAGCAAAACCTTGCTGGTGCAGTGTTGGCTGCAGTGCAAACAACCCTTTGCTGCTCCTTTGCTGTCCTACTGCCTTTTTCACGTTCCTGTGATCTCCAGGGAGGCTGCCAGCCCATAGCTGGCAGGCAAAACTCTGAGGGTAAGAGCGAAAAAGGCAGGATCCTCAAGGCCAATCTAATCTTTCTCCTTTTTCCTTACGACATGCACATTCTTGCTGTCCTGGCTGCTGCTTCTCTTCAGCCAATAGCAAATGAGAATTGCGGCACTGAAATTTACTCTTTGTGGCTCTTCACAGGCTACCTGGCAGTATGAGCTTTTTGCCGTTGTTGCTCATTCAGGATCAACTAGTTGTGGACACTACTGTGCCTATATTCGAAGTCTCACAGAATGTAAATGGTATTGCTTCAACGATTCTGAGGTTTGCCAGGTGAGGAGACAAATCCACATTTCTTTTGTAGCTTCCTGGACACTCCTCCAGGTCTCGTTCAGTCTGACTGACTGCTAATTAAAGAGAATCAGGAAAGAAAACCAAAGCTGCAGAGCTTTGTGCACCTCATTCCTCTGCTACAGCATACTCTGAGCTGAGGGCAAAGCGGCTCTAGCTTCTGTATCACCTAAGGCCTCAGGTTCTGGTTTGCAATTTGCAGAAGCCACCATTTGCTGTATACCCTACTTTATGTACTCTAGATCTGTTTAATGTATGTGTTCAGAAGAGGCAAAGGAACTGTTTTTCCTCAAAGGGTAAAAGCAATAAACCGATTTATTAAAAGGTGTTTAGTTCCTGGAAGTACCACTTCTACCACTCTTACGAGGATTGCTGTGCTGGTATCACAATACCACTCTTCAGAGTTTTTACCAGCCTCCCCTTGTCTGTTTTTCTTCTCAAGGTATGGTGGGATGATGTTAAATGCACCTATGGACATTTCAACCTCCACTGGTAAGCAAACACATCTCTGTTTTTACCTGATGCTGCTCTGGGGTTTGGAATGGGGGTAGCAGAGAGAGGGAAGACAAATGGTTTGAACCGCATATTGCCTGGGATGTACAGGGCATGCAGGAGAGTAGAAGAGGCATCCTTGTGTTCTGGTTATTCTGATGTGTCTGTATATGACTATACCAGGAGCCTGCAGGATTACTGAGTAGTCACAAATGGGGCTGCAGAAGTGGTCTTGTTACTTAGGATTGCCGCTTGGACCCTATATCCTGACTGAAGTCAGGATTCCTCCATGCTTTTTGTTTTGATGCATCGTAAGAAAATGAGCCATGGAGAGAGATAATCCCTCCTATAAGCTATAGCTCTGCCAGGGGGTCAGCTTTATATGCTGCCTCAGGAATGCTGGAGAGGGCCAGTTCAGTTGACCTAAACCTCAAAAAGCTGAGCAGGAGCAAACCTGGGAGGTTACTTGCAATCTAGATCTTCAGACATACATCTTGTTTTGCTTTTTCTTTGCTTCCACAGGGGAGAAACGGCCTATCTCTTGATTTACATGAAAAAACATCCTCAGTAGCCTTAACCAGGGGTATCAGAATGTCTCAGGAAGCTGTGCGTTGTCCATGGAGCTCAGCACCTCTGTGCCAGTATGGACGTGTACAAATGTTCCACAAGAAAGACGTTCTGCACTCAGTGACAACTGCCTTCACATTTATTTGTGATCAGCTAGAGAAAGGACCTGAGAAAGGACCTAAGAAAGAACCTAGAAACTTTTTCTTTCATACATTTTTGATATTTATGTGATTCTGTATATTAATTTCTTCTTAAAAGATAGTAAAGTTAGTCCTAGTCTCTGTCGACTTACTGGTTTCTTTAATGCTGATGCCTAGGTTTCAGTACAGGGGAAGTGTTTGGCCTGAAAGCCTGCGTGATGTTCCAGGGAGGCACACGGTATGGTGGGAGAGCTGTGATAGCCATACCTAGCCAGGAAGACCGTAAGAGCTTGAGACTTACTCTGCCCTTTTAGCGCCATGTTAGATGCTGGCAGGCTGGGCAGGAGAACCCAAAAGTCTTGAGAAACAGCTGGAACAAGGACCAGAACCCTTATGACACATGCACCAGTGAAGTTTACTCCTTAAAACCTTCCTGAAAATGAACCACTGCAGGGGTTGAGATGTGTTTGAAAGTCAGTGTCAGCATAAAGAGGTGTTTTTAGATCAGGAGCTATTGTAGTAGTTCTGATTTACAAGATGAGTTTGTATATATTTATGCAGATGATTATTGTTTTAGCATGCTTATCAGGCATTTATATGCATTTTCTTTCCTGTATAGAGGAGAATATTCAGGGCAACAGAGATTCTGAAGCTAGCTAGTGATTTTGCACAATACACTTGCGATAAGAGGAGAAGTGAGATGCCTTCATGTACTTGAACTGGGATTTTCCTTTAGTACTCTTCAGCTGGTTGCCAGCTGGAATTGTCTTGCTCTCTCCCTTCCTTCCCTGCCCATGAAGTGGAAATGTCCCTCAAGCAGAAAGTGTTCTGGAGGGAACAATTTTATAAAGAAAGTGAGTAATTTTTAAATCTCCTGTTGAGTCCTGTCACTCTGTGCTGTTGGTTCGGCCTGTGCTCCCATGGCAAGACCACAGAGCTGGAGGGAAAGATGAAGGAAGGCTGGTAACGTGTGACAATCAGAAGAGTGTGCTGAAACCTCATCACAAGACTCAGCTGTGAGGAAAGTTAAAAACTTTGGTTGTGATGTTTTTAAAGCACTCCTTGTGGTAAGTTTTCACGTACCACAGTCTGTGAAAGGATCAGTGATTCCAGTAGTTTGAGATCTAAAAGCACCTTCTAGCCTAACGTATTCTTTGACTGTATCTTTACAAGGGTGCTATTTTTGTGGGACTCAGCACATTTTAAAATTACTAATTTAGTTATAATAGTAGCTATATATGACCTAATTTTATTTTGATAATGATGATGAAGTTCCCAAATCACGTCCGTTTTCTGTTGGTATGTGGAAGGTGAACTGAGAAATCTTGGAGCATAGCTGTGAAATTACATTTTGATGAACTAGCAGGTGTTTATTTTACTGTACTAGCAAGGTCTGTTGTTCTGTTCAACTCTCTTGTATTTGTACTGTTCATTCTGTGTTTAAACACCCCC